GACCCTTCCCACTAGTAAATTTGACCTTGGGGCTTCCTTGCTTAAGCCACCAGGACTCCCTGTGGCCCACAAGAAAAAGTACACATTGTATCGAATGCCCAAATTCTCTCAAGTTAGCTCTTGCTCCCCAGCCTTTGTTCCTTGACATTTCTTTTCCTTTCCTCTCATTTTGTACCAAATCTGTCCATCAGACTGCGAATTCTGTGAGCACAGGCCCACGATGTATTGTTCATCTCTGTGTTCCAGGCTCCTTGGTTAGTACAGTGCATGGACATGGTAATGAGGAAATGTTGCGTTGAATATCTGAAAATCTAACCTAGGTTAATTTTTAAAATTCAAAAAATTGTACAGGGTTTCAGAATGACTGACACTTCTGAAGTCATTTCCAATTTTGAAGAAATGTTTGCCAGTAGATTCACAGAAGGTGACAAAGAGTACCAGGAGTACCTGAAACTCCCTCCTGCAGCCCCACCGATCGTGGAGGAGTGGAACAGCAAAGCTGCAGGAAGCCAAAGGAACCGAGGCAACTGGTATGTATGACCTCAGAGGATCAGGGTCAATGTTATGGTCACTGTGCCACACCAGTGCCTGGCAGAGTACGGCCTGATGAATAGTCTAACTTTGGTCAGCAGCAGAGGTGTTTTTTTCCCCCGGGCTTAAATTGTGTGCGTGTTAATTTAAAAACAAACCAAAAAGTTCTGTGGACTAAGCAAAATGAGGGTAAGTCAGAAAGTACTGGTACTAGAGTCTAGCTTACACGTAGTCTGTCCCCAATAAATTGGATTTAAAACATTCTCTTGTGATCAGCAGATGGCCGCAGGCAAGTTCTCTCAGCAAGTCATCTGTCTTAGTTTTGTTAAGGAAACAAAACCCTGATATTAAGTGTTAACAAAACCGAAGTAGACTTCCTCTCAGATGTTCTCCCAAGCTGTGCAAAGTGTTCTACAATGCAGCCCCCACGTGCAGCGGCAGTGTTCAGATAGGCCAGGCATCTGTCTTAAGGAAGGTCAGCTGGGTCCCAGGAAGAGACATCTGGTGGCAGGAGGTTATGGTGGCCCTTTTTTTTGTGACTCCAAAGATTAATCTTGATAGATTTCCTCCAAGGCCACAGGATGCTCATGGAGGGCTTACTAGGACATGTTAAGGAAATTGAAAACTTTATTAGTGAGGAAATTTGTGCTGAGTAATTTTTTTTTAATAACCATGCACCTGCTTATTTTTCAAGGACAACAAGAGCTGTTCTATGAGATTTTTTTTTTTTTCCCTTTCAGAATTAGGTTGTACTTTACATTCCAGGTCATTGTATTTTTTATTCAACAACTTATTTAAACCCCTATAGCTTGTCCTGACCCCCAGAAAATCAAAACCAAACTCATACTGCCATCAGGTTAGTGCAGACTCATAACAACCTTTACGACAAGATAGAGTGCCCCTGGGAGTTTACAAGACTATAACTCTTTACATGGGGGCAGAAAGCCCTAGTTTTTCTCCCAAAGAGCTGCTGGTGATTTCAAACTGCTGACCTTACAGTTAGCAGCCCAATTCGTAACCCTATGGATGCAGCCTTGGCATAGTGGTTACGAGTCGAGCTACTAACTAGAGGATCCGGTTAAAACCAACGGCCATCCGAGGGAGAAAGACAAGGCTTTCTACTCTTGTAGAGTTGTCCTCTCTACATGCCCTTCTCTCTCACTCTCTCTCTTTCTCTCGTAGGATATTCTCTTCCCCTTCACCCAAGTTAATACCTATCTACCTTCTAGCCTATTGCCTATACCTGCCCTTTCCCTTCCACACCTAGTAACTATCAAAGTGTTTCTTTTGGTGTGAAAATCTTTCTCTTCATTCCTTTATAACAGTGGTTTCATACAATAGTTGCCCTTTTGTGTTTCACTAGCTTCGCTCAGCACACTGCCCTCCAAATCCATTCATGTTATTTTCAGTCATCAGTGATATGAGAATTGCTGGAAGACCTTACCCCATCTCCCCTACAGATACCATCTGTTCCTTCAGGCGTCTTTTTGTTACGGAAACTTAAAGGCCCCTTTAAAGGAGTACCAATGGAGTGGCTCTGGAACGCCAAAACCGCCCTGTTGGCACGGCCCAAGTTAAGGGGTGCAGAGCTCTTTGGAGAAGGGCTAGAGAGACAACACACTGTGTCAGCAGTGAGCACGCCTAGATAGAGCACAGTTCCATAGCAGCTGCACACTTTGATATTTCTGTTTAATAAAAGTTTCCATTATTTTGTAGCAATACTTTGAGACTTACTCTGAATAAGTATACCAAAAGATTATAATAATAGCTTCCCACAAAATTCTGGATGAAACTCCATGAAGAGGCTGCTATTTTGGTTTTGTGGTAGAACGTTTCTAAGTGGAAATTCTATGTGATCATTCAGTATAGTCAAAGGAATAAATAGCACATTGCTTATTTACAGTTCAGTAACTTTCAGTTTGATTTAAAACGGTTTTAGTGGTTTGGATTTGTTGTAGTCTGCCTATTTGCAAAGTGTATCCTGTATAAGAATGTAAAAATGATTTAAATCTTAAGGTTTTAAGGAACTGGTGCCCTAGTATTCTGTAGAGGAAAACCCGTTTTTATTTTCTTGTTTATGGAACACTAGGTAAGAAGCCGAACGTGCCCGGATAAACATGTTGTGTTCTACAAAGGACAGTTTAAAAGCTAGCTCATTTGTCTTGTCACAGGTTGCAAGATAACCGACAGTTTAGAGGCAGGGATAACAGACGAGGATGGCCAAGTGACAACCGATCCAATCAGTGGCGTGGACAGCAGCACAGACCTTACTACGGCCATCAGTATGGACAATATGGTTACAACCAGCGGCCTCCTTATGGCCACTACTGACAGAGATGTCGGCAGCTTTTAATAAAACCGTGCTCCTTGTTAACATGGCCAAAGTTTGTGAATCTTCTGTTTGGTTTTAGGGAGTGGATAGTTTACTATTTGAGCCTTTGTTTTTATTATTTTAACTAGAGATGCGTGATGGTAGCTTGGAACAAATTAGTTCCCTAAAAATAAAGTGGTGGTTTATATTGTTTGACTTTTATCTCAGTCATCTGTATTTTATAATTTAATAGTGCTTTTTTAATTTGGTGTATTCCCCATGTTTGACCTTTAGGAGTTCTGTGTTGTTTTACATAAATAAAATTTAAGAAATGCTTATTTGTAATGTGTCATACATAGCATCAGTAAAAGGTTAAAATATAGTATCTTTCTTTTGGCTTATGTGTTAGTCTGTGTTGACTAGAGAAAAATTCAGACACTCATATATGTTTAAGAAAGAGCTTTCTTAGCCCTCAAACTTAAACAGTGGTCTGAGTGGCTTAAAGAAAAAAGGAGGAAAATGTGCTTTATACAATTGATGTATGTATGGATTGTGGTAAGAGTTGTATGAGCCCCTAATAAAACGACTAAAAAAAAAAAAAAAAAAGAAATGGGATAAACGATGGTACACTGAGGGGATTGCAATAGAGGAGTTGAAACAAAATGTGTATGAATTGTTGAATGATGATTTGCCCTGTAAATGTTCACCCAATTCACAATAAAAAGTTTCCGGGGGCGGGGGAGGAGGAAAAGTAAAACTGAAATGGACTTGGAGTCTTGTGACAAACAAGTTCACTTCGAACAATTAAAACATATATTTTAAAAAGAGCTTTATATAAAAGAGTACTTGTATATTAAGAAAACAGCCCAGTCCAAATCAAGTCCGTAAGTCTGATATTAGCCCATATGTCCGATACCAATCTATA